TCAACATTATTTCTGAGCTTTTAAAAATCACTTTCAAAATTATCAAAATGGTTTTGGTTTTTTTTTTGAAAAACTATTCTCATTAGATGATAAATGGGACACAATAGATGATTCTCCTGAAAACTTTGTACACTTGGATATAATAATAAATCTGGAACGTTCTATTGCAGGAAACAGTTTAAGGAAAAAGCTGCTTACAATCTAATGTAGATCGAAACAATATTAGAGAGTTCCATGACTAATGTTTAGAATAATATTTGATGAAGATATTAAAAATTTACTGTTAAAACGCATTTATATATTGAAAAGTTTTTCGTTTAATATTTTTGTTATATTTGAATATTATTTAAAAAAAACAAGTTATCAAAATAAATGTTTTATGAATATCAATTAAATTATTTCTTTTTCTTTTTTCCAGTTGATGTTTTCTTTTTAATTGGTTTGATCATAGCTGCTAATTTTGCTTTTTCTTCATTCATTAATTGTTCTTCTTGAATAGCTAATTCTTGTAGACGTATACGTTCAATTTCAAGAAATCGTTGTCGAAATTCTTCACGTGGTTCATTAATAGTACAACGAATTTGATCAGTTTTAGCTTGTAAATCAAAATATTCTTCTAATTGACGAATTTTTTCTTTATATCGATTATTTTGATCTTCTTGACGAATTTGACGAATTTCATCAACATATTTCGAATGTTCAATAAAATTACTTTGACGACGTTGTAAATCTTCTTGTTCAAATAATGAATCAGATATAATCGGTTCATCGGAAAACAGTTTTTGTCTGAAAAGAAACAAATATATATATATATATTCATTTAGTATTATAAGGCATCGAATTACTTGAGAAAAGGTTTTACATCCAATGGTGGCAAAATAATTTTAGGTTTACTTGCTGGTGGTTCATCTAGAAGAGGTTCATCGATTTGTGATGATGATGAAAGTGATGGTGAAATTAGTTCAATTTGTTTGGAAACTTCATCTTTAACGGATTCTTTTTTCGTTGATGAAATACTTTTCTTTGTCGTTGAAGTTTGTTTGTTAACTGATTGTTGTTGTTCTATAATTGAAGAATTAATTGTAGTAGATACTTCTTCATCCGTACGAATTTCTGAAATATTTGTTGCATCATCAGTTGTTTCATATAATGAAACTTCATCAACTTTTGATTGTAAAGAATCAAGAAATTTTTGTCTTGTTTCCATTGCTTTTTTAGCTCGACCAACTTGAAATGTTTCCCATGCTTTTTTTATATTCATTAATTCTTCATTTCGTTCAGTGTCTTTTTTAATTGTTAATTCATCCTTGACAAAAACAAAAAGAAAAACATATGAGTTTTTTTTTTTATTTGTAATTTTGATTTTCATACAACTTTATCTGCATCGGATATAATTCGTAATATCCAATGAGGTTTACTTGTATCAATTGTTTTTTCTGTATTCTCTTTTAACGATTTCGATCGATTTAATGATGTTGTACTACTTCTTCCGCTTCCAACAGTACTACTTTTTATTCTATTGCTTGTTATCGATACATTAGAATTTGTTTGTCCTGTTCGTTTACTACTTGTTGAATCGTTAATTGGTCGATCGGTTTTAGGTGTTGATGATTGTGGATTAAAAACTATTTTATTAATAAATTTATACTTTAATTGAAAATTTTCTATTCTTACCTTGTAATTCATTTTTTTCTTGTTCTTTAAGTTGTTCAACAAATTGCCATTGATTTGCTGTTAATGGCCATGATTTATGAAGAAGCGTTACTTGAATAATATATTTATGTAACTAAAAAAGAAGTCAGTTAAATGACGAATTATTTATGTATTTACTTTGTCTTCTTCATCTACAATTATTAATCCTGTTCGACTATTTGATCTCTAAAATAAAAATTTAGAAATATGGTTTTTTTTTTTTT